TGTCCCATGGTGGATAGTAAATAGTTCTTAGTAATCCTTAGTTTTGAAAAGCTTCGCTCAAATGAAGCCACAGACACAGATCGTAAGAAACAATTGAAGGCTAAGCGAGAGCATTGGAAGAGACTCTAGGAATTCCCATTCAGCAATGAATTTCAAAACATCAAATATTGACTAGTCTTTGTATTTGTAAAATTCAATACCAGCTGCCTTCAGATTTCTTCTAAGCCGTTTTATTTCTTTTAAAAGTAAAGCTTCTGATAGCTCATCATGGAAAGTGCTTAATTTTGGAAAGGACACCAATTACATTTCTTCACGCTCTTATAGTAGACTCTTGGGTTGAACAGCCCCAAAAATATCTGTTACTTCCGTGATCGCTGATGATGTGATCTGGAATTCAGAATGAAAGCGACCAATACACTCCAGCAGCCCCCCCCCCACCCCCTATTGTTTCCTTCTCGCAGAGAGAACCAATCATCTATTAATTGTTTTCTTGCCGTTCTCTTCTTAATCCTTCACCTTCTCTCTACCGAATTGCCCCATTAGTCTGATTTTAAAAGTGCCTTATCAATGGCATGCCCCATCAAGGGACCGCGCGTCTCGTGCAGAAGCGATCTTAAGGCCTCTAGGTTAATCTTCACTTTGCCAAAAGTCAAGCCTTTAGTCTGCAGACACTGCTGTGCGAGATTAACTTCCTCAAGTAGATCAGCCCAAAGGTAAAAGAAGCAGATAAACGTGAAATCCCAGACAGCATGTAAAAGACCCTGTGTTGTATGACAATCGCACTCAAATAGTAAGGGGCGGGGCTAGGTTACGAAACGGTGGTAATATGTATTTTTTTAATAGTATTTCTGGGTCTCGATAGATTTAGTCTCAAAAACTTTAAAAAAAAATTGAATGTATTTAAATGATTTATTAAAAGATATTAGAAAATTTAAGAAAATATTATTTTGTTACCCTATAAATTGGGTAAAAATAATTTTTTTATGATTTTAATTTTGACCAATTCGATTCATGCACTTAAAATCGCACAGCTACATCGTATTTGGTGTCAATGGAATGCAGTATTTCTCAGAATTTAGATACATTTAGCTTCCTGTCACGAAAGTAACCAAACACTTCAATCGGCGTTGAATCATGGTCAAAGCGGTGTTTTTATAACCTCATTACAGGATTACCTTCTTTCTGACGCATTAACCTGGAAATTTTAAGAAAAAACGTATTTGGATTTGGTTTCATGTGTGGAAAATAATAATCGAATATTGTGTAATTATTATTTTGTCACATGCATTCATTCCATAGTCATCAAGTATTTTATGTGTGATGTTAAAACATCCAGCTGTAATTTGATTAATTGCGCGTGGCAACAGATTTTGTAACCATTGTTTTTGTTTGTTTTCTTTGGTGGTGGGGAGGGGCCTTAAAAAATTGATTCGATATCATGTTCTTTACTTTCCTTCTTGGGTATTAAGACCTCTTTACTTTCCTTCTTGGGTATTTAGACCTCTTTACTTTACTTGTTGGGTATTTAGACCTCTTTACTTTACTTGTTGGGTATTTAGGCCTCTTTACTTTCCTCGTTGGGTATTTAGGCCTCTTTACTTTCCTTGTTGGGTATTTAGGCCTCTTTACTTTCCTCGTTGGGTATTAAGACCTCTTTACTTTCCTTGTTGGGTATTTAGGCCTCTTTACTTTCCTCGTTGGGTATTTAGGCCTCTTTACTTTACTTCTTGGGTATTTAGGCCTCTTTACTTTACTTGTTGGGTATTTAGACCTCTTTACTTTACTTGTTGGGTATTTAGGCCTCTTTACTTTCCTCGTTGGTCATTTAGGCCTCTTTACTTTACTTGTTGGGTATTTAGACCTCTTTACTTTACTTGTTGGGTATTTAGACCTCTTTACTTTACTTGTTGGGTATTTAGACCTCTTTACTTTCCTTGTTGGGTATTTAGACCTCTTTACTTTACTTGTTGGGTATTTAGACCTCTTTTACTTTACTTGTTGGGTATTTAGACCTCTTTACTTTACTTGTTGGGTATTTAGACCTCTTTACTTTACTTGTTGGGTATTTAGGCCTCTTTACTTTACTTGTTGGGTATTTAGACCTCTTTACTTTACTTGTTGGGTATTTAGGCCTCTTTACTTTCCTCATTGGTCATTTAGGCCTCTTTACTTTCCTCGTTGATCATTTAGGCCTCTTTACTTTACTTGTTGGGTATTTAGACCTCTTTACTTTACTTGTTGGGTATTTAGACCTCTTTACTTTCCTTGTTTGGTATTTAGACCTCTTTACTTTCCTTGTTGGGTATTTAGACCTCTTTACTTTACTTGTTGGGTATTTAGACCTCTTTTACTTTACTTGTTGGGTATTTAGACCTCTTTACTTTACTTGTTGGGTATTTAGACCTCTTTACTTTACTTGTTGGGTATTTAGGCCTCTTTACTTTACTTGTTGGGTATTTAGACCTCTTTACTTTACTTGTTGGGTATTTAGGCCTCTTTACTTTCCTCATTGGTCATTTAGGCCTCTTTACTTTCCTCGTTGATCATTTAGGCCTCTTTACTTTCCTCGGTCATTAAGGCCTTTTTACTTTCCTTGTTGGGTATTTAGGCCTCTTTACTTATGTATGTTTCGCTTGATGGGTATTTGGTCCGTTTATCTGGTGTCTACCTGGTACGCTTAAATCGGTGTGGAACATTTAACCTATAATCATGTGCCTATAATCATGTGCCTATAATCATGTGCTTACATTGCCTTTTTGGTTTTTGGGCCTCATCCACTCACCCATTCCTTCCTTGTCGGCATGATTTGGTACACTTGACAAAAAACCACCAACAACACTATTACTAATAACAAAAGATCCAGGACAATAGTTCGATCAATATGGAACGAAATATGAAATGAAGCTAAGTGACAAAGTCATTTGTAATGTAAGTAAGTTATTATTAGATTTTATTGAATAATGACATGAAAAAAGAAAATTTTATCAAAACCAGAAGAAAGAAAATAGTAGAAAATTAAATAATAAAAAAAAATAAAGCAGAAAATACCAGATAAAATAAGCAAAGATAAAATATGGAACTATGAAAAAGTGTCATAATTATTGCATCGCCATTTAAACGCCCAGCTGCATTGAGGCTATACTAACTTAAGAGCCTTAACATTTCAACAATAATTGAAGTTAAGATAATAAATGGGTTTATTCGTAAATGGTTTCTTTGATTTATAAAAATATATTACATTTTTTAAAAAAAATATAAGCTTTAAAATATGCAGGAACATTTTAATACTGAGATTGTTGTCTCTAAAATGGAAGACGGGGAAACCAAGAAGTACATTTCTCGTGTTATCACTTTCAGAACCAGTCACATGAGTTGAGCCGATGTCACATGACTGCAAGCCAGTCGCATGACTGGAACCCCTGTCACATGACTCTCACGCCGGTCACATGACTTTCCCGCCGGTCACATGACTAACACGTTGGTCACATGACTTTCACGCCGGTCACATGACTAACACGCCGGTCACATGACTTTCACGCCGGTCACATGACTCTCACGCCGGTCACATGACTTTCCCGCCGGTCACATGACTAACACGTTGGTCACATGACTTTCACGCCGGTCACATGACTAACACGCCGGTCACATGACTTTCCCGCCGGTCACATGACTAACACGCCGGTCACATGACTTTCACGCCAGTCACATGACTAACACGCCGGTCACATGACTTTCCCGCCGGTCACATGACTAACACGCCGGTCACATGACTTTCACGCCGGTCACATGACTAACACGCCGGTCACATGACTTTCCCGCCGGTCACATGACTAACACGCCGGTCACATGACTTTCACGCCGGTCACATGACTAACACGCCGGTCACATGACTTTCCCGCCGGTCACATGACTAACACGCCGGTCACATGACTTTCACGCCGGTCACATGACTAACACGCCGGTCACATGACTTTCCCGCCGGTCACATGACTAACACGCCGGTCACATGACTTTCACGCCGGTCACATGACTAACACGCCGGTCACATGACTTTCCCGCCGGTCACATGACTAACACGCCGGTCACATGACTTTCACGCCGGTCACATGACTAACACGCCGGTCACATGACTTTCCCGCCGGTCACATGACTAACACGCCGGTCACATGACTTTCACGCCGGTCACATGACTAACACGCCGGTCACATGACTTTCCCGCCGGTCACATGACTAACACGCCGGTCACATGACTTTCACGCCGGTCACATGACTAACACGCCGGTCACATGACTTTCCCGCCGGTCACATGACTAACACGTTGGTCACATGACTTTCACGCCGGTCACATGACTTTCACGCCGGTCACATGACTTTCACGCCGGTCACATGACTAACACGCCGGTCACATGACTTTCACGCCTGTCACATGACTCTCACGCCGGTCACATGACTTTCACGCCGGTCACATGACTAACACGCCGGTCACATGACTTTCCCGCCGGTCACATGACTAACACGTTGGTCACATGACTTTCCCGCCGGTCACATGACTAACACGTTGGTCACATGACTTTCCCGCCGGTCACATGACTAACACGCCGGTCACATGACTTTCCCGCCGGTCACATGACTAACACGCCGGTCACATGACTAACACGCCAGTCAAGAAAAGACAATAGCCTACAATGTATCGTATATAAGGGATATAACATAATTCATTCCGCCATCCACTTCCTGGCCGGCCTATGCCATGTTTACATGACACTGAGTTACTGGTAAGCCTATGCCAGGAATAAATTCCATCCAGTTACCGGCCAACCTATGTCAGGTTTACATAGCATCCATTTACTGCCAGGTTTACATAGCATCCATTGACTGCCAGGTTTACATAGCATCCATTTACTGCCAGGTTTACATAGCATCCATTTACTGCCAGGTTTACATAGCATCCATTGACTGCCAGGTTTACATAGCATCCATTTACTGCCAGGTTTACATAGCATCCATTTACTGCCAGGTTTACATAGCATCCATTTACTGCCAGGTTTACATAGCATCCATTCACTGCCAGGTTTACATAGCATCCATTGACTGCCAGGTTTACATAGCATCCATTTACTGCCAGGTTTACATAGCATCCATTTACTGCCAGGTTTACATAGCATCCATTGACTGCCAGGTTTATAGGTCTTTTGTTTGTTGTCTACCTTATAGTAACTGTCTGTGTTTCTAACGTGACAGTGGCGTCATGACGACGTGCACAACTTACATAGATTGCTATCCCATTGTCAATTAGTTTGCCGTGACTTGCTATCCTATTTTTAGTTGGTTTGCTCTGACTTGTTATCCCACTGTCAGTTGGTGTGCTGTAACTTCTTGCAGTCACTATAACACCAAATTCCCACAGACAAAAAAAAATGAAGTCCATGACGCAAAAACAGAATGTGTCAGGCGACCAAGCAATCACAGATACGTCTTCAAGACAAATGCTTCAAAATTACAGACAAAAAGAGGTGAACATTTGTAAGCATATACCAGAATAACTGGACTGCTGCAAGCATATTCGAGAATAACAATTTTTCAAGCCCCAGATTTCGATAGGACAGACTGTATCTCTGACTTTTCGAATTTTCGATTTATAATCTGAAAATTTTGACCCGTAATTAGGACCAGGAGGACATGAGGACCAGGAGGACATGAGGACCAGGAGGACATGGAGATGTTAAAAAAAAGTTAAAACAAATGGTAAATTAGGTTCAATTAATCTGCCACATGTCAATTTATACTTCACCACTCCTGTATGTAACATACACATTTATAAATGAAATTTTAACTAATCACAAGTAGCTTATCATAAATGTTACCACTTAGCCCAATAAATATATAAATATAATAATTGAAAGCATTCGTAACTGGCGCATTACGGTTTTTATCAACAACAGAGTTGAATTTGTTTCGACAAATAATTCAAGATTTGTAGCAAGTTAAAAAAGATGGAATCTGTTTACAAAACAATTTATAAATGAAATAAATATTAAATGCCATTGGTATGAAATAAAATAATAATTAAAAGCCATGATATCAAATGATGTAATGATTTAAAGCCATGATACAAAATGATATGTGGACCTGCTGTCACGATACAAACTTGCCATAGGAACTTATATTAATATTTAAGGGCACGTCTTTCAGCTGTGTCCAGACAAGCTCCAGTCTCATCAGCAGCCTTGACCCATACTTGTTAACAGCGGTCAAATCGTCCACTCTCGGCTGCTGGTCTTCCGGGGATTCCCACGTTCTATAATGATGGAGCAACGCCTGCGGCTCCTGCAACTTGACGACGGCCCCGGTATTCTCCCAAATAAAATGGACCCCAACAGTCTTGACGAGTTGCGGGTTCAACAAATATTTAGACCTTGAGTTGTGCGGATAGATTTGCTTTTCGCGAGACGTATACTTGAGTATAACCGGATTGTACATCTGAACCCCCTTTTCAAAACCTGGCGCCGGCTTTGGCCATTCCTTGCGGAAGAATGTGCACTGAACGAGTAAGGAGGAGAACTTAGGAGAAGATTTCTCTTGTTCTCGGACTAGACCCGCCCAATCGTCATGCGACCTGGGGATGATGAACTCGTCGATGTCCGTGTAGACCAAGTACTGGGACCGGTCCCGGTACCGGTGCAGGCAATCGTTGAGGGCGGCAAGCTGGGCAAAGTAGTGCACATCCGGGTCTCCTGACGGTGGCCAGGTTTCTGTTTTTAATGTGATGTGCCACGGTAAAACTTCGATGTCGCCTGCACGGGAGTAGAACTCGAGAACCTTTGAGATAAAGAGAATATTTGATACGATGAATACATTTCTAGTATTACAGTTTAACAGTACACTTCAATTAATACAGTTTTAAAATACATTTCTAGTATTTCAGTGCAACAATACACTTCAACAATAAACTTCTAATATTTCAATTGAATTGTGAATTTATGATAGTTCAGTACAAGTTGTACAAAAATAATGGAATATTTTAGATAAAAAACAAAACAACAACGAAACAACATTATTTTAAATGCACACCATTTATTGTATGCCTTGAGCTAATCAAGACGCAATTCTGAGGAAAAACAATAATGATCCCATATCAAGAAAACCAAGAGTGTATGGCGAAGCTAAGGGGAATTTTCCATTGGTCCATCAGCGAGAATTATTCATGTGTATTTAGTTTATTTTTTAACCCACTAAATAAACTATTTCGATGTTTAGAAGTGAAACAAATATCATCTTCTGTACTTCAACAGAATGTTACCAACATTGCTATGTCAAAGAGTTAACATTTCATGTGGGGCTAGTGCAGTGGCTATATTACCTTGTCAATACTACCATGGCTACATTGCCTTGTCAATACTGCAATGGCAACATTACCTTGTCCATATTGCAATGGCTATATTGCTTTGTCAATACTGCAATTGGCTACATTGCCTTTTCAGTATTGCAATGGCTACATTGCCTTTTCAGTATTGCAATGGCTACATCACCTTGTCAATACTGCAATGGCTACATCGCCTTGTCAATACTGCAATGGCTACATTGCCTTGTCAATACTGAAATGGCTACATTTACTTGTCCATATTGCAATGGCTACATCACCTTTTCAATACTGCAATGGCTATATTACCTTGTCAATACTGCAATGGCTACATCACCTTGTCAATACTGCAATGGCTACATTTACTTGTCCATATTGCAATAGCTACATTACTTTGTCAATACTGCAAAGGCTACATTACCTTGTCAGTACCGCCATGGCTAGATTACCTTGTCAATACTGCAATGACTACATTACAATGTCAGTACTGCAATCGCTACATTATCTTGTCCATATTGCAATGGCTATATTACCTTGTCAATACTACCATGGCTTCATGACCATACTGCGATGGCTACATTTGAGACATGTGGTCACGCATCATTTTAGGGGACAATAATTTGAATCAATAGTAGCGTCCATAGCTACAATGCCTTGGTATTGTAACTATCACTACATTACCTCTTCAATACGATGATAGCAACAATACCTAGCCACTATAATAATGGCAAAATCACCTTGTCAACATTAGGCCCGGTGCTATGGTTATAGAATACAATCCTCTGGGCACCCAGGATTTTGTTCAACTCAATCATCTCCACCAGCTCGTAGGCCCTGCTGTACTTGAAGTTCAGGGGAGTAACACAGACAGTGAACTGGAGCTTGGCCGGACTTGGCCCAGGCAAGGGCAGCACGTTGGTGGGGCGGCCACATCTTGCGGTCACAACACTAACTGCGTATGGCGTGGCGGGTACTCGTTGGCCGGGAATGTTACATGTGATGTAGGCGGCCGAGAACCTGGTAATGTAAGATGTGATGTAAGGGATTTAGTAACTGGGAATGTAACATTGGTCATGTGATGTAAGGGGTTTAGTAACTGGGAATGTAACATGTGATGTAAGGAACTAGTAGCTGGGATGTTACATGTGATGTAAGTGGTTGTCCGAGGTCCAGTGCTAGCCCGCCCGCCATGCACCCTCGGCCCGATACCGAATACTTTGAAGGCAAAGATTATGTTCGATTTGTTTAGTGCTTAATACAAAAATAAAGGTTTTTATCATCGTAATGTTCACATGGGAAGTGTTTAAAAAATCAGAATAACAACATTGACTGTTGCTACGCAGGGCCTGCTGTACGGTTTCTGGCGCCCCGGGCAAGCTTAACTAAGGATTAGGTAATACGTTTATTACCTAGGTTGTCTTAAACAAACAACACAAAAAAACAATGAACAATATAATTGTTTTTTATAACTTGTTTTGTACAGTATGAACATTTAGCCTGCCGTGGGCAGTAATGAATAATTAGCCTATCGTGGGCAGTGTGAACAATTTGTGACAGTATGACTGACGATTATTATTGCGAGTAGGGAGTGAAGTTTGTGACCTGATTGGCCTGTGTTGTTGTCATGTGGTATGACTGGACGTCGTGAGCAATATTCCTTCTAAGGTTTGCTGGTTCGTGTGCAAAATACTAAAGTTGTGTGCAAAGTTTTACAGAATATATATATATATTTTTTTTTGTGCGAAATTTTACAGCCCAAAAACACACAAATACGGAAATTACATAATTGAGCTTAGTGCAAAAAATATTCATATAAATAAATAAATGAAATATAATTAAATAATTATAATAGGAAATGTCCAATCAAAGCTATTTTAGTTCTTTTATTTACCCCGTGGTTGGGTCAAGCAACTAAATTCCCATACACCCACCACCAATGGCCGCTGGTCATTTGATGGACTCGTTTCTGGGGTATCTCTTGCGTCTGTCTTTCAACGCTATCCATCTTTTATACACATCGTCAAGTTTGATCTGACGTCCACCACTCTGATACGATTTGATTCTCACAAGCCAGGTCTAAATGTAACTCTTCCAGACTTTTTCTAGATTCTATTTTCATATTATTCCCTACGCTGAATCCACGTTCACAACCTGCGCTTGATGCAAAAAATGTAGCACTCCATTGTTTTTGCCTAGCGTAACCGATGCTCCATCAGAGATAAACATAACAGTTTTCTGCATGTCCAATGACTTCTGTTGATAAAACTGTTATTGCTCATTCCACAGATTTACTATCACATGCCGACTGAGACAAAATTCCAACAAGTACTGTTTTTTTCAACATTACCGGGATATGGCCGAAACTTTGCGTATAAGATCAACATTTTGGTCTGTGATATATCAATGCTCTCATCTACTGTTCATGTGTGGAGCTTTGTATTGCGAAGTTCGCTAATTATAGCATCCTTCACTAAAGAAACGATCGAATCAACAAACTCAAAAGCGTAAAAATGGTCTGGGGCATTCTTAGCAAGATGGTTGTGTATGTATTGAGCTGCATTCACAGATGTCTTCATGTTGAAAGCCAGGAGGACATTGTCAATCACAATTTAACCTGGTCTTCTTTAGCACTTTTTACATTGTTCTGCCTGCTTCTTGCCTCATGTTTCAATCAGTGATCCTTTCTGTAAGCATTCGCAGTACATCTCCTGACCAATGTTCCCTTTAAGGTTTGTTGGTTCGTGTGCAAAATCATAAAGTTGTGAGCAAATTTTTACAGCATCAATTTTTTTTGAGCGCAAAATTTACAGCCTACAGACACAAACACACTCTTGAGTGTAAATTAGCTGCGCGGTACTCAAAACTGCTGCGCGGCGTCTGTGAGATTACTGCGCGGCCGCGCAGCTTAAAGCGAATATTGCTAATGACTGTATTGAACGAAGTCTCTGTACAGCACATGTGTGTATCTTTTGCGTGATATGTCGTTTAAGGTAATCCAGCTTCCAAAGCTCCCACCTTTTCCCTGTTGGGCAATCACCACCTGCGTTAGCTTTGAAGCACATTTCACAGACAACACCCTCATCACATTCACGATATTTAAAACTACCCCCCCCCCTCAGCTTGACAGTCCGCTCTGACGATGAATCTGGTAGTGCTGCATAAACAAATTCATTGAGCCATCCCGTTTTAAAATTTTATCTTCAATTTTTTCATGGCAAGCGATGTCGCTGAAAGTTCGCTTGAGTGACTTTTACACATTACGGTTAAAACATTATAAAAAATAATTAGCTACTACATTTATAATAAACTAGAGATATGCCATTTATTTACTTTAGACACATTCACGGCGCAGTAGACGCAACAATATTTACACAAGAATGGTGGCTGTGGTTCATAATGAGGCTAGCTTGATCCGGTGTGTATCGATAAGTATGTAAATCAATAGTTCTACGTATAAAGTAGGAGACAAAAATATGGATCTAAATTAAGTTACAAATCTATATGTTATAAAAACTGTATAGTTCCGGCTGCAGATTGCAGTGTATCTATACTATTCGAATTTATTTTAATAAAAATTTGCTGCGCGGATACTCAAGACTGCTGCACGGCGTCTGGGAGATGGTCGTGAGTTGTTCTTATTCACGAATGCGTGGAAAAGTGGAATGAGTGATCATGAATGTGAAGTTTTAAAAGAGTGTATTATGTAGAATAAAGTTCCGTTGTTACACGAATACAGAAGCGTGGGCGTCTTCCATTTGTATTACACAATCAGCCTTCGGTGGGCAGCATGAACAATGAGCCTAAAGATGACATTTTTGTAGTCTAGACTCTACAACAGCTAATGGTTTAATTGCACTTCCTATTTTTCTGTGTCCACATGCAAGGATTGTTCCTATTGTGGGAGATAACTGAAGGCTCCTTAAACGTATGGCGCCCCGGGATCTCCCCGAGTTGCCGGTACCTAACCCAATGGCGCCCCGGGCAACTCCCTGAGTTGCCGGTACCTAACCCAATGGCGCCCCGGGCAACTCCCTGAGTTGCCGTTACCTAACCCAATGGTGCCCCGGGCAACTCCCTGAGTTGCCGTTACCTAACCCAATGGTGCCCCGGGCAACTCCCTGAGTTGCCGTTACCTAACCATATGGCACCCCGGGCAACTCCCTGAGTTGCCGGTACCTTGAGTCAGCCCTGTTGCTAAGTTTATAATAATGTGAACAGGCAGGTTTGCTACATAAATCAGCATAAAGTAATGAGAAAGAATGTGAATAAATGATTCATTTAACTTGTAACAAATATGATGAATATAAATGGGTTTAAAATAAAATATATTCCATGAATGAATCCTGCGTGCTAAATGAGGTCATCCATCAATATCAAACTGACCTTAAGGACGTTCACATGAGGTCTACCTCAACATGACTATATGAATATTCCCATGAGGACCAAATTCAACATGACTTTCTGAACATTGACATGAAATCAACATCAACATGACTTTATGAATATTCCCATGAGGACCAAATTCAACATGACTTTCTGAACATTAGCATGAAATCCACATCAACATGACTTTATGAACATTCCCATGACGACCAAATTTAACATGACTTTCTGAACATTGACATGAAATCAAAATCAACATGACTTTCTGGACATTAACATGCTAAAATGTCTCAACTTAAATTCAATTTCATTTTTTGGTATGAAGAGTGCAATACTCTCATTACGTGATGACTGATGTCCAAACACAATGTGTTTGCAATACATCAAACAGTTGTATTTCTCTACAACAGATGTCTGAAATAATGGTTTTGTTTAAAGTTTCACTACGTCGTAATAAAGAGCTCTCGGCTATTCGGGTATAGACTAAGCTTGTTCAGTTTAGACAATGAGATGGTGAAAGAAGGCCACACTTTGGGCCTTTGGGTACTGTGACCAAATGGACATGTGGTCTGTGTGACCAAATGGACCTATGGTCTGTGTGACCAAATGGACCTGTGGTCTGTGTGACCAAATGGACCTGTGGTCTGTGTGACCAAATGGACATGTGGTCTGTGTGACCAAATGGACATGTGGTCTGTGTGACCAAATGGACATGTGGTCTGTGTGACCAAATGGACATGTGGTATGTGTGACCAAATGGACCTATGGTCTGTGTGACCAAATGGACTTGTGGTCTGTGTGACCAAATGGACATGTGGTCTGTGTGACCAAATGGACATATGTCATGTGAACCAGTCAACTTATTGGTAGGACAATAGCAGGACATGTCCTTCTAACCCAGTCAACTTATTGGTAGGACAATAGCAGGGCATGTCCTCCTAACACAGTCAACTTATTGGTAGGACAATACCAGGACATGTCCTTCTAACCCAGTCAACTTATTGGTAGGACAATAGCAGGACATGTCCTTCTAACCCAGTCAATTTATTGGTAGGACAATATAAGGACGTGTCCTTCTAAACCAGTCATCTTATTTGTAGGACAATATGAGGGCAATATCAGAACATGTCCTTCTATCCCAGTCAACTTATTTGCAGGACAATATGAGGAAAATAGGAGGACAGGTCCTAATAAAACAATACACTTTTTTGTTATGATTTTTGGTTGAAGCATTTTAGCAGTTACTAGTGACCCTAACAGACCATTGTATTATTGTATGGAAGTTAGAGACCGACCGAAAGTGATTTTCTGATTTCGGCCGAAGCCGAAAATAGGCCGAAAGTTTAAAATGACTTACGGCCGAAACCGAAAAAAGGCCGAAATTTTAAAAATGACTTTCGGCCGAAACCGAAAAAAGGCCGAAGATTAAAAATGAATTTCGGCCGAAACCGAAGCCGAAACCGAAAATGAAATATTAAGATATTTTGAAATTCGTTCCCGCATACATTCTGCATACATCGAAAATGATGTGGGGAAAGTATAAATATTTACATTCTTTTATTAAAAAAATGAGATAATCGTAAATATTAATAAATAAACATCTAATATAGGGGTCTCAAACTCGCGGCCCGCGAGCCATATGTGACCCGCAAGACTATATTTTGCGGCCCGCAGAAAAGTTTAGTGTAAATGCGCCGGCCCGTTTCCCCCATTCTCATATCTATAACGTGACTCTCCGCGACGGTTTCAGTCGAATATCACCGACTAGTCTAATTCTGACTTTAAAAAAAAAAATATTTCTACATATTTTTGTATGCCAGGTCTCTGGCAACAGTGAGTAGTTCTTGAGAACCCTTAATGATTTTATTGTTATTTATAAAGGTTGAGCAGATTGTAACAATTGTAATCGCTTTTTTGTGGATAACTTGATGCGGCCCACTCTCATTCAGACACTACCTCCTGCCCCCCCCCCCCTTTTCCGATGATTTGAAATTGAGATCCTTGGTCTAATGAATACTTTGGATTTTACCATTTTATTATAAAAGTAATTTAAATTGCTTTACAATTTTTTTTTTAAAATTCGTACGGTAGAAGAAAATTAAGCAAAACTTGGGGGGGGTGGGGGGGGGGGAATTAATGCAAACTATTATTTTTTTAAACAGGGTCTCTAAAAAAATGTGGTTCTAAAAGATCGCTTAATTTGTTTTTAAAGATCGTTTAGTTGGTTGTTATTGATCGTTTAGTTTGTTGTTAAAGATCGGTGAGTTTGTTTATAAAGATCACTTAGTTTGTTTTTAAAGATCGTTTAGTTTGTTGTTAAAGATCGTTTAGTTTGTTGTTAAAGATCGTTTAGTTTATTGTTAAAGATCGTTTAGTTTGTTGTTAAAGATCGTTTAGTTTGTTGTTAAAGATCGTTTAGTTTGTTGTTAAAGATCGCTTAGTTTGTTATTAAAGATCGCTTAGTTTGTTGTTAAAGATCGTTTAGTTTGTTGTTAAAGATCGCTTAATTTGTTGTCAAAGATCGGTTAGTTTGTTCTTAAAGATCGCCTTGTTTGTTGTTAAAGATCGTTTAGTTTGTTCATAAAGATCGCCTGGTTTGTTGTTAAAGATCGCTTAGTTTGTTCTTAAAGATGTCCAGTTTTGTTAATGATCGTTTCATTTGTTCTTTAAGATCGCTTAGTTTGTTGTTGTAAAGATCGTTTAGTTTGTTGTTAAAGATCGTTTAGTTTGTTGTTAAAGATCGTTTAGTTTGTTTTTGTAAAGATCGTTTAGTTTGTTGTTAAAGATCGTTTAGTTTGTTGTTAAAGATCGTTTAGTTTATTGTTAAAGATCGTTTAGTTTTTTGTTAAAGATCGCTAAGTTTGTAGTCAAGGATCGGTTAGTTTGTTCTTAAAGATCGCTTAGTTTGTTTAAAGATCGCTTAGTTTGTTCTTAAAGATGTCCAGTTTTGTTAATGATCGTTTCATTTGTTCTTCAAGATCGCTTAGTTTGTTGTTGTAAAGATCGTTTAGTTTGTTGTTAAAGATCGTTTAGTTTGTTTTTGTAAAGATCGTTTAGTTTTTTGTTGTAAAGATCGTTTAGTTTGTTGTTAAAGATCGTTTAGTTTGTTGTTAAAGATCGTTTAGTTTATTGTTAAAGACCGTTTAGTTTGTTGTTAAAGATCGCTAAGTTTGTAGTCAAGGATCGGTTAGTTTGTTCTTAAAGATCGCTTAGTTTGTTTAAAGATCGCTTAGTTTGTTTTAAAGATCGTTTAGTTTGTTCTTAAATGTCCCTTGTTTGTTGTTAAATATCGTTTAGTTTGTTTTCAAAGATCGCTCAATTTGTTCTTAAATGTCCCTAAGTTTGTTGTTAAATATCGCTTTCGCTGAGTATGACCGAAAACCTGAGTCACTTTCGGCCGGATGGCCGAAAGTCTAAGTCAGTTTCGGCCGAAACCGAAGAAAAACCGAAAGTTAACTTTTCTCTTTCGGCCGAAACCGAAATTAAGCCGAAAGTTAACTTTTCAGTTTCGGCCGAAACCGAAACTTGGCCGAAAGTGATAAAATGGCCTTTTTCGGCGCCGAAACCGAAGCCGAAGCCGAAATTCGGTCGGTCTCTAATGGAAGTTACTAGTGACACTAACAGATCATTGTACTACTGTGTTGGCAATTACTAGGGACACTAACAGACCATTGTATTATTGTGTTGGCAGTTACTAGTGACACTAACAGATCATTGTACTACTGTGTTGGCAGTTACTAGGGACACTAACAGACCATTGTATTATTGTGTTGGCAGTTACTAGGGACACTGACAGACCATTGTACTATTGTATGGCAGTTACTAGTGACACTGACATACCATTGTAATACTGTGTTGGCAGTTAGTAGTGACACTGACAGACCATTGTATTATTGCATGACAGTTACTAGTGACACTGACAGACCATTGTACTATTGTGTTGGCAGTTACTAGTGACACTGACAGACCATTGTACTATTGTATGGCAGTTACTAGTGACACTGACAGACCATTGTATTATTGTGTTGGCAGTTACTAGTGAGACTAACATACCATTGTATTATTGTGTTGGCAGTTACTAGTGACACTGACAGACCATTGTATTATTGTGTTTACAGTTACTAGTGACACTGACAGACCATTGTATTATTGTGTTGACAGTTACTAATGACACTGAAAGATCATTGTATTATTGTGTTCACAGTTACTAATGACACTGACAGATCATTGTATTATTGTGTTGACAGTTACTAATGACACTGACAGATCATTGTATTATTGTGTTGACAGTTACTAATGACACTGACAGACCATTGTATTATTGTGTTGACAGTTACTAATGACACTGACAGATCATTGTATTATTGTGTTGACAGTTACTAATGACACTGACAGATCATTGTATTATTGTGTTGACAGTTACTAATGACACTGACAGACCATTGTATTATTGTGTTGACAGTTACTAATGACACTGACAGATCATTGTATTATTGTGTTGACAGTTACTAGTGACACTGACAGATCATTGTATTATTGTGTTGACAGTTACTAGTGACACTGACAGACCATTGTATTATTGTGTTGACAGTTACCAATGACACTGACAGACCATTATATTATTGTGTTGACAGTTACCAATGACACTGACAGATCATTGCATTATTGATCGCTCTTGTCCCTACACATCGGTAATCAATGGTCAATACATTATTGAGATGTTCGATCTGTTCCTGAAAGAGATCGACATTATTTCTCAAGATAATGCCCCGTGGCAGAAGAAAAGGGGAGGAAGCGTGGAGAAGGAGGGCTGGTCCGGGTGGCTTTTCCTAATATTGAGGGGGGGGGGCATTTTGAGCCAACTGCGGTTAAGTTGGTAGGGGGCGTCAAAAGCCTTGTCCATCCCGGACTGAACTCAAAAGTAGCTACGTCACTAACAATGTTGTTTATTCCATGCAATTGTTTTTGTTAGTTTTCAAATTGTCATGTGTTTAGCCGGCCTGTTGACCTAGTTTTTGGTCACCCTGTGTGGTGTCGAAACGGGATATGCAACCTTTACTTTACCCTTTACTTGTCCTACTGGCTCACCAATTAACTTGCTCACAACTGGTGGAACATTATGGAGCAAAGCCTTCTAATGATGTGATCCAAATCATGGGCTGGCCAAACTAAGTTGGCATGGGTTGCTTTCGTCAATAACTCTTGGTGGGTTATGTTGATAGGGTCCCTACAGTAATGGTGGGATCTGTTGATATGGTTCCTTCCCTTATGGTGGGATGTGTTGATAGTGTCAGTACACTAATGGTGGGATACAATGATAGATTTAGTACACTTATGGTGGGATATTTTGTAAGGGTTAGTACACTAATGGTGGGATGTGTTGATAGGGAAAGTACACTAATGGTCGGATGGGTTGATAGGGCAGTACACTAATGGTGGGATGTGTTGATAGGGTGAGTACACTAATGGTGGGATGTGTTGATAGGGTTAGTACACTAATGGTGGGATGTGTTGATAGGGTCAGTACACTAATGGTGGGATATGTTGATAGGGTCAGTACACTAATGGTGGGATATGTTGATAGGGTCATTACACTAATAGTGGGATGTGTTGATAGAGTCAGTAACTAAGGGTTGGATGTGTTGCTAGGGTCGGTATACAATTGTTAGCATGTGTGTCTAGGGTAGGTATACAAAGGGTAACATGTGTCACTACGGTTGGTATACAATTGGTAGCATGTTTCACTAGGGTAGGTATACAATTGGTAGCATGTGTCACTAGGCTAAGAATACAATTGGTAGAATTTTGGTAGGGTCTGTATACAATTGGTAGCATGTGTCACTAGGGTCGGTATACAATTGTTATCATATGTGGCTAAGGTAGGAACACAATTGGTAGCATGTGTGGCTTGGTAAGTATACAATTGGTAGCATGTGTCACTAGGGTCGGTATACAATTGGTATCATGTGTGGCTAAGGTAGGTATACAATTTGATAGCATGTGTGGCTTGGTAGGTATACAATTGGTAACATTTGTTTCTTGGGTAGGTATAAAATTGGTAGCATGTGTGTCTAGGGTCGTTATACGATTGATAGCAGTTGTCACTAGGGTCGGTATACAAATGGTAGCATGTGTCGCTAGGGTCGGTATACAATTGGTATCATGTGTGGCTAAGGTAGGTATGCAATTTGATAGCATGTGTGGCTTGGTAGGTATACAATTGGTAACATGTGTTTCTTGGGTAGGTATAAAATTGGTAGCATGTGTGTCTAGGGTCGGTATACGATTGATAGCAAGTGTCACTAGGGTCGGTATACAATAAGTAGCATGTGTCGCTAGGGTCGGTATACAATTGGTAGCATGTGTCGCTAGGGTTGGTATACAATTGGTAGCATGTATCGATAGAGTCGGTATACAATTGGTAGCATGTGTCGCTAGGGTAGGTATACAATTGGTAGTATATGTCGCTAGAGTCGGTATGCAATTGGTAGCATGTGTCGCTAGAGTCGGTATGCAATTGGTAGCATGTTTCGCCAGGGTCGGTATACGCAAACAAGGTCGGCCCGAATGCGGCTACAATGATGATCTCTTATTGGTGACCACTTTTGTCGGTTGTCTGAATTAGGACAGACCAGCGGGATGACCTTAGAGATATAATGGTCAATATAGGGACGTGGAGTTTTATAATGCTCAATACCTGATACGGCGGTGAAGACCGACTTGAAATTTGTCAATAGAAGTGAGATTTGTTTGCTTGGAGCATTGATTTTCAATTGATTTCCTTGGTCTATGTTTACACAGCTAATCACGCAATCCTCGTGGACAGATCTTATTGAGACGTGAAGGTTCCTTTTGGTCTATGTGTACAAGTGTGCAATGTGTCTAAGTGTACACTATGTCTATGTGTACACTATGTCTATGTGTACAATGTGTCTCTGTGTACTACGTGTCTATGTGCACAACGTGTCTATGAGTACAACTGTCTATGAGTACAACTGCCTATGAGTACAACTGTCTCTGTGTACAACGTGTCTATGGGTCTATGTGTACAACATGTCTATGTGTACCATGTGTCTCTGTATGCAATGTGTCTATGTGCACAATCTGTCTATGTGTGCAAAGTGTCATTGTCTACAGTGTTTATGTTTACAATGTTTTTATGTCTACATTTTATCTATGTAAAGAACGTGTCTATTTTTAGGCAGCTTATCTGTTTCTTATCGATATTAACCCTAACCCTAACCCTAACCCTAACCCTAACACTAACCCTAACCCTAACCCTAACCTTAGCCCGAACCCTAACCCTAACCCTTAAAGAATTTAAAATAAAGGGAAAACTCATATCAAATTAGAGAGTCGACAGAATTACTGAGTTAACAGAATTAGAGAGTTAACAGAATTAGAGAGTCAACAAAATTAGATAGTTAAAAAATTAGAGAGTTAACAGAATTAGAGAGTCAACAAAATTAGAGAGTTAAAAAATTAGAGAGTTAAAAAATTAGAGAGTTAAAAAATTAGAGAGTTAACAAAATTAGAGAGTTAAAAAATTAGAGAGTTAACAAAATTAGAGAGTTAACAGAATTAGAGAGTTAACAAAATTAGAGAGTTAACAAAATTAGAGAGTTAAAAATTAGAGAGTTAACAAAATTAGAGAGTTAACAGACTTAGAGAGTTAAAAAATTAGAGAGTTAAAAAATTAGAGAGTTAAAAAATTAGAGAGTTAAAAAATTAGAGAGTTAAAAAATTAGAGAGTTAACAAAATTAGAGAGTTAAAAAATTAGAGAGTTAACAAAATTAGAGAGTTAACAGAATTAGAGAGTTAACAAAATTAGAGAGTTAACAAAATTAGAGAGTTAAAAATTAGAGAGTTAACAAAATTAGAGAGTTAACAAAATTAGAGAGTTAAAAAATTAGAGAGTTAAAAAATTAGAGAGTTAAAAAATTAGAGAGTTAACAAAATTAGAGAGTTAAAAAATTAGAGAGTTAACAAAATTAGAGAGTTAACAGAATTAGAGAGTTAAAAAATTAGAGAGTTAACAGAATTAGAGAGTTAAAAAATTAGAGAGTTAACAAAATTAGAGAGTTAACAGAATTAGAGAGTTAAAAAATTAGAGAGTTAACAAAATTAGAGAGTTAACAGAATTAGAGAGTTAACAAAATTAGAGAGTCAACAAAATTAGAGAGATAAAAAATTAGAGAGTTAACAGAATTAGAGAGTTAACAGAACTAGAGAGTTAACGGGATTAGAGCGTTATATTCGAGAGTTAGAATTAGAGAGTTAATGGAATTAGAGAGTTCATAGAATTAGAGAAGTCATAGATTTACAAGTTAACATAATTAGAAAGTTAAAAGTATTCGATAGTTCATAAAATTGGAGAATCAAGAGCATAAAAACGTTAGCATGCCTAGAAAGTTAGCAATTATAAATTAACCATAATTCGAGAGCTGTATGTTCCACCAGCAACAGATTGATTGCATATGCTCACAATATAAGGATGTTCCATAACACGATGTGACATATTTCACGTTTCATAATGTCAACTCTCACAAACAAAAGCCTGACAAGGATTGAGACACACAATGATTGAGACCGACAAGGATTGAGACTGACAAGGATTGAGACTGACAAGCATTGAGACTGACAAGAATTGAGACTGACAAGCATTGAGACTGACAAGGATTGAGACTGACAAGCATTGAGACTGACAAGCATTGAGACTGACAAGGATTGAGACTGAAAAGGATTGAGACTGACAAGGATTGAGACTGACAAGGATTGAGACTGAAAAGGATTGAGACTGAAAAGGATTGAGACTTACACGCATTGAGACTGACAAGCATTGAGACTGACAAGGATTGAGACTGACAAGGACTAAGACTGACAAGGACTGAGACTGACAAGGATTGAGACTGACAAGGATTGAGACTGACAAGGATTGAGACTGACAAGGATTGAGACTGACAAGGATTGAGACAATGAATAAAGTTCCTTACTGAAACCACAGGTTCCAGGATCAATAATAAATTCAAATATTCTCCGCTCAATTCCTGCTGACGAATCATGCAGTAAAGACTCATAGGCTTGGAACAGCCAAAACTTTGAACTGCTATGGACATAATTTGTCAAACAGAACCATTTCCTTTCAGTTCATCTTATCTCAATCTTTCCTCTCACCCCAAATGTTGCGTGACTTCAAATTTGTCAATTCCAATTAGTACTTAGCAATGAACTTTTATTAGTACTTAACAATGAACTTTTATTAGTACTTAGCAGTGAACATTCATTAGTACTTAGCAATGAACTTTTATTAGTACTTAGCAATGAACTTTCATTAGTACTTAGCAATGAATTTTCATTAGTACTTAGCTATGAACTTTTATTAGTACTTAGCAATAAACTTTCATTAGTACTTAGCAATGAACTATTAGCACTTAGCAATGAACTTTCATTAGTACTTAGCAATGAACTTTTATTAGTACTTTGCAATGAACTTTTATTTAGACTTAGCAGTGAACTTTCATTAGTACTTAGCAATGAACTTTTATTAGTACTTAGCAATGAACTTTCATTAGTACTTAGCAATGAAATTTCATTAGTACTTAGCAATGAACTTTCATTAGCACTTAGCAATGAACTTTCCTTTGTATTTAGCAATGAACTTTCATTAGTACTTAGCAATGACCTTTGCTTTGTACTTAGCAATGACCTTTGCTTTGTACTTAGCAATGACCTTTGCTTTGTACTTAGCAATGACCTTTGCTTTGTACTTAGCAATGACCTTTGCTTTGTACTTAGAAATGAACTTTCCTTTATACTTAGAAATGACTTTCCCTACCTCTTCTGCCACGTCCAAATCATTATTGGAATAAAAAGCTGTGACAATTCATTTTTCATGTTTTTTTCAAATTTGTTGTTATGGACGAATCGATAATGTTATTATTTATACAAAGGTTGAACAATTTTCCATAGGAGTAAATGTTCAATTAAAAAAAAACAACAGATACCGAACCTTCTTGAGTGAACAATGTGTTGATATATGTTAGGACTAATGAACGACATGATGTCTTCATAATATGTTGATGTATGTTCGGACTAATGAACGACATCATGTATTCATAATATGTTGATGTATCGTAGGAATACTTTTTAAAATAAATAACGATTTTATTATTTAACTTTAGAAAGCTTGGCGGGCCGGATAAACTCAAGTGGCGGGCCGGATCAGACCCGCAGACCGTAGTTTACCAATCTCTGATCTATTTCATAGCGCTAATAATTAACAAAAAACCAAAGTGCCTACAGCTCAATTTGACAGGTTCGCTTAACTTAGGTACGCCACTTTAAAGTAGAGTAAGCAAGCAAATATAATTTATCATAATGAGCCATAGCAGGAAAAGTTGCCGACAGCGCTGGTTGATTGGTTAGTGCTAAGTACTCAGTATACCACGATTATTCAAATATGCTGATGCGTTTACTTAACAAAAAAACAAAAACAAAAAAAACATGCAATAAATGGAACATGGTGCTCCCCGTTAAAATGTAACTAACTATTTCTTACAAACCTCCTCCCATGATCCTCTGCAATATAGTCCACCTTTGCACTGACGACTTCCAGAGGGTCGCCCTGTACCCCATGGTACCAAACCTGACAATAGAGCTCACTACTGGGTCTGGCTACTTCGTGGAGGGCTATGATCCTAAGGATCTCATTGTCAACAAATGCCGAGTAGACTTGAGCAGAACTACCGTCTACGGTCTGAAATAGCAGGGTAAGTAGAATATATTGTTTAAATTTTACCCCTTATTACCTGGAATTCAAATATTGATTCAAATAAATGAAAAGTTTTAACATATATATATATATATATATAGTCTATATATATTGTACATACTAATCTTCAACACATAAATAAATACATATTTTAATAAAGATGACATTTAAAATTAAACAAATTAAACTCAAGTTGTCTTAAGTATTTCTCCAAGGTAAAAAAAGAAATAAGCTGAATATATTTTACCAGAACGTTCTTTCAATTGTCTGGAATATTTGGGTAAATGAATTATTCAAATATATATATATATATATATATATATATATATATATATATATGTGTGTGTGTGTGTGTGTGTGTGTGTGTGTGCGCGTGTGTGTGTGTTAGAGGCTAACCCGAAAAAAAAAAGTTTAATTATGAACAAAATTAATACTGTGGCACAAGTATTATATATATATATGTGTGTGTGTGTGCTTTATGACCCGACCTAATGTTTATCATTCTAACCGTCCTTTTGGTATTAACATAATTCGAGTGTGCGCTAGATTTAATGTCTGACCCCATCGCAAGTAGAAATGAAACAACCTCTAAAGACGAAATTTACCGATAGATCCATTATATAATGTCATATTGGGCGACGTATAGATCCATTATATAATGTCATATTGGGCGACGTACAGATCCATTATATAATGTCATATTGGGCGACGTATAGATCCATTATATAATGTCATATTGGGCGACGTATAGATCCATTATATAATGTCATTTTGGGCGACGTATAGATCCATTATATAATGTCATATTGGGCCACGTACAGATCCATTATATAATGTCATATATAGCGACGTATAGATCCATTATATAATGTCATATTGAGCGACGTATAGATCCATTATATAATGTCATATTGGGCGACGTATAGATCCATTATATAATGTCATATTGGGCGACGTATAGATCCATTATATGATGTCATATTGGGCGACGTATAGATCCATTATATAATGTCATATTGGGCGACGCATAGATCCATTATATAATGTCATATTGGGCAACGTATCGATCCCTTATATAATGTCATATTGGGCGACGTATAGATCCATTATATCCATTATATAATGTCATATTGGGCGACGTATAGATCCATTATATAATGTCATGTTGGGCGACGTATAGATCCATTATATCCATTTATATAATGTCATATTGGGCGACGCATAGATCCATTATATAATGTCATGTTGGGCGACGTATAGATCCATTATATAATGTCATGTTGGGCGACGTATAGATCCATTATATAATGTCATATTGGGCGACGTATAGATCCATTATAAAATGTCATATTGGGCGATTTGAAAGCGTGTGTGTGTCTGTGTGCTTAAGGTTGGGAGGGGGGGGGCGCTGAAAGTTGACAAATCATGCATTCAAGCAACACACTTTATAAAAATCCCAGTCCCTTCCCCTCTATAAAAATCCCCGGTAGTTCCCCCCCCCCCCCCCCCGCGCCAAAGGCTCACAACCGCACATTTTGTTCACGCCCCTGAACTAGAGTTTTATTTAATGACGCCCCCTCTTCTACACCGCAGATTTATTTCACGCCCCTGAACTATAGTTATATTCTAATGACCCATTGCTTCTACACCGCAGATTTATTTCAGCAAATTTTCAGAAAAAACCAAAGGGAATATTACCCATCCAACTTACTTTTTAAAAAGAATCTCAGTTATTGGGCATTTTATTTCGTGAAATCTTAAATTTTGAAAATGAAAAAAAAAGAAAGAAAAAGATTTTTGGGGTGGACCATCTTCACAAGTCTACCATCTTCACAAGTCTACCCTCTTCACAAGTCTACCCTCTTCACAAGTCTACCCTCTTTACAAGACTACCATCTTCTCAAGTCTACCATCTTTACAATTCTACAATCTTCACAAGTCTACCATATTCACAAGTCTACCATCTTGTCAAGTCTATCATCTTTACAAGTCTACCATTTTCACAAGACTACCATCTTCTCAAGTCTAGCGTCTTTACAAGTCTACCATCTTCACAAGTCTACCATCTTAACAAGTCTACCATCTTCACAAGTCAACGCCCAGACAGTAATAGTGTATATCAACTGTATGCACTAGATATTATTCATGTATCTCACATGTGTACACGAGACAGTTTTATTGAATATAGTATGTGTTCACGAGACAGTATTTATGTATCTTATATGTGTACACAAGACAGTGTTATTGAATGCCGTGTATGTTCACGAGACAGTATTTATGTATCTTATATGTGTACACGAGACAGTTTTAGTGAATGCCGTATGTGTTCACGAGGCAGTTATTTATGTACCTCATATGTGTACATGAGACAGTATTAGTATATCTCATCCTTGTTAAAGAGACAGTATTAGTGAATATCATATGTGTACAATAAACAGTAAAATTGTATCTAATCTGTGTACACGAGACAGTATTGGTGAATTTCATATGTTTTCACCAGACAGTGTTAGTGTAACTCATCTGTGTACATAATACAGTATTAGTGAATCGCATATGTATACGTTATATGGTATTAGTGAATCTCATGTGTGTAAATTATACAGTATAAATGAATCTCATATGTGTACACAAGAAAGCATTAATCTATCTCTGTAATAAGGCAGTTTTAGTTTGTGTACAATAGGTAGTATTAGCACGGCGCCATTTACTCTCTCTGGGCGTCAAGTTGGCAACATAAGAACCGTTGACAGAAATCTGAGAAAATCGCCCTCCGGGAACCATATCCTACTGATGAGAGCAGACATATGTCTGAGGCAATAATTTGTGGTTCAGAAGCCAATCTTCGAAAAGTTGCCTTTGCATCAATAAAAGTTGGTGAATCAGAGATCCTGTTGTCCTCGACTGTCAGAGACCTTGGCTTTTATATTGACAGTAAACTTAGAGTGATTCCCCATATCAGTTCTGTGGTCAAGGCTTGCTTCTGTCATCTGCGTGCCCTGGGTCAGCTGCGTTCTCAACTCAATAAAAGAACAGCCAATGCTGTAGCGGTAACTCTAATCCAGTCAAGATTAGATTACTGTAATAGTTGTATGTGGGGTTTACCTCAGAACCAAAGTCAGAGACTCCAAAAGATACAAAATACTGCTGCACGCATTGTATCACAGATGAAAAAATCTGACCACATCACCCCAGTTCTACGAGATCTCCATTGGGTTCCTGTGAGTGAGCGCATTAACTACAAAATTCTGTCCCTGGCGTACAGCTGCATAGATGGTTCACCACCGGAATATCTTAAAGAACTGATTTGTAAACATGTATCCTTGAAGAGCCTGCGGTCTTCAACACAGTGCTTGCTGAGAGTTCCTAGTGTGGATGAACACAGAAAAATCAAATCAAATCAAATCAATCAATCAATCAATGGCCGCTCAATAGCAGCACCATACGTCCTGGCGCAGTGCCGCACCGTGCTGTCCATTTTCAGGCTAATGATGTGTAACTCGTGTGTTGTATATTCCCGACGAGAAGCACCAACAAAACACGCCATCTCATGAAACCTTTTCACATCCCCAAAATTTTCATTGGACCCCACGAATCTCTGGATTCAAACATTTCCCATGTCCCGAAATGCGATTCTTCCTCCCAACACACTAACAAGAGCACATGTATCAACAACAACTTTTCATAACATCCTTCATCATTAGCGACATCTCAACACCCCCCCCCCTTTTTTTTTTTTTACTAACAGTATCTCAAGATTACAATAATGATTAGTGTGTCTGTGTACATCAGGCAGCATTCGTGTATCTGTTACCCGAAATGCGATTCTTCCTCCCAACACACTAACAAGAGCACATTTATCAACAACAACTTTTCATAACATCCTTCATCATTAGCGACATCTCAACACCCCCCCCCCTTTTTTTTTGGACTAACAGTATCTCAAGACTACAATAATGATTAGTGCGTCTGTGTACATAAGGCAGCATTCGTGTATCTGTTTATGTAAGATAGGATTAGTGTATCTGTTTATGTAAGATAGGATTAGTGTATCTGTTTATGTAAGATAGGATTAGTGTAACTGTTTATGTAAGATAGGATTAGTGTATCTGTTTATGTAAGATAGGATTAGTGTAACTGTTTATGTAAGTTAGGATTAGTCTATCTGTTTATGTAAGATAGGATTAGTGTATGGAAGGATTTTCTTTGTTTTTACCTGAAACCCCGCCTGGTCGTCAATGACCTTCATGGTCAAACCTTTACATGCTTCAGTGGAGTTTAGACTGACCACTGCTCGTGATTGGGGATGGTATTTGTCTTTGAACATAGACCCTAATAATAGATAAAATATGCCTAATTCAGTGCAATAAACTAACATATACAAGGTAATCTTACCACGCCCCATCTTTGAGCTTATAACAAAAGAACATCGTTTCAGTCTGTGAAAAGTCAGTACTTCAAAAAGTCATGTGACAAGTCAGTACATCAAAAAGTCATGTGACAAGTAAGTACATCAAAAAGACATGCGGCAAGTCAGTACATCAAAAAGTCATGTGACAAGTCAGTACATCAAAAAGTCATGTGGCAAGTCAGTACATCAAAAAGTCATGTGACAAGAAAGTACATCAAAAAAGTCATGTGACAAGACAGTGCATCAAAAAAGTCATGTGACAAGACAGTACATCAAAAAAGTCATGTGACAAGACAGTACATCAAAAAGTCATGTGACAAGACAGTACATCAAAAAAGTCATGTGACAAGACAGTACATCAAAAAAGTCATGTGACAAGACAGTACATCAAAAAAGTCATGTGACAAGACAGTACATCAAAAAGTGAAATTCTTCAACATTTGAATATATGATACTCAATCCTTAATTTACAATAGCGAATGTTTTTATTGGTTACCATGGCAACTATATCTACTTCATTTGTTCTCAAATCGTTATACTTTATGAAAGATGGTTTAAGTTAACTAATTCCCATTAGAAGCCATGTTTGTTTGATACTCAGTCCAACATTTGTCATATGACAGAAGGTGTACGGTAACATCAAATGATTACTTATAATTGAAACATTCATTTAAACACCCTGAATGAACCGTTCCTTCAACTCAACTACTTAGGTTACACTTACACAATGCATCTCGCCCGTTGGTGTAACCAGTGTGCGCTGACTGTAAGAACACGAACAGGTTGATACTGATGACAACTAGCACTGCCACTGTCACACCCCGGACCACCTTTGTCAAGTTGAAGCGCATCTCCGCCCTGTCACAATGAGTTCATGTCACGCGTTAACCCAGGAGACAGCAGACAGCAGACAGCATTCACAGGTCGAGGTTGAGGTTGTATGTCTTACAGCGGCCTTGTTCCTTGTACAGTCGCTGCAACAATTTGATGTCTGCTGTATTACAAAGGCCAATGTCTGGAGTACCTAATGCAGACACAAAGACGATGTTAACATATACCAATGTGCATGAGGAACAGCGTAGAACTCGCACAATACAATACGTGAATATACGTATATTCAGAAGGCGTGACAAGACAATACGTGGATAAACGTATAATCAGAAGGCGTGACAAGACAATTGGTATAAAATAACGCCTGTGATAATGAAATAATGCATGGTAATACGCAATGAGTGGTATAGCATAACACGTGTTTGAACATAATGAGTGATATTTATTAATCATTGTTTCTTTCAGGTAATTTCCTCCCGGGGACGGGGGGGGGGGCATATCAGATTTTCGGGCCAGCAGTGCCAGTAACCAGAGGCGTAGCTAAGGCGGGAAATACGGGCTCCAGACTAGCGGGGGCGAAAAAGTGACTTTGATGGTCTAAACTTGTTAAAAATAATGGGGTTCGGAGTTGAGGGGGGCTGAAATGAATCTAATAACACGTGTTTGAACATAATGAGTGATATTTATTAATCATTGTTTCTTTCGGGTAATTTCCCCCCGGGGACGGGGGGGGGGGCATATCAGATTTTCGGGCCAGCAGTGCCAGTAACCAGAGGCGTAGCTAAGGAGGGAAATACGGGCTCCAGACTAGCGGGGGCGAAAAAGTGACTTTGATGGTATAAACTTGTTAAAAATAATGGGGTTCAGAGTTGAGAGGGGCTGAAATGAATCTTGTCCACTGACGCCAATCACTCTAGCTCCACCCATGTCAGTGGCGCAGGAAAGGTTTCGGATTGATGGCCACCCAGGCATTACCTTTTCTTTAAAATGAGGTGTGTCATATCCGGACAACTGCAGAGTTTTTATCGTGCAAGGGAGTGTGGCAAAAACCTTGGGCCACCCTTGGTGGCGCTAATACTAGCTACGCTAATCGGCAATGTATTTATCGGGGTCTGGAGAGAGTCCTACCCACAAAAGTTTTAATTATTTCAAAACCAAGCGGTGCATTTTGGGATAGACTTGGATCAAGGGTTTCTGTTAGACTTTTGGATCGGGGTGGGGGGTACTTTTAAGGGTCTGGGGGGGGGGCATTACGACTCCCAATGCCATACATAAACTGAATTCATCTGGTTGTGGCTTGCCCTAGGGTAGTCATTTGGAGCACGCTTGTATTTGAACACTTGTTGTCACATTGATCAGCACAAGGGAAAAGGGTGCAACAATTGAGGTTTCCGAAGATAGTCGGGCTAATTCAAAATACACGGTTGTATTTTTGCGCTCACTTGAATTTGGTGTCTCTTTCAGGAAACCCCTGCTAAGACTACCCTAATTTTTATGCCGTGTACGCCCCTGCTAAAAACTATCTTATTTGTTATGCAAGCGACACGACTGCTCATAACTACCCTCCCTATGGACCTGACTGCTCATAACTACCCTCCCTATGGACCTGACTGCTCATAACTACCCTCCCTATGGACCTGACTGCTCATAACTACCCTCCCTATGGACCTGACTGCTCATAACTACCCTCCCTATGGACCTGACTGCTCATAACTACCCTCCCTATGGACCTGACTGCTCATAACTACCCTACCTATGGACCTGACTGCTCATAACTACCCTCCCTATGGACCTGACTGCTCATAACTACCCTACCTATGGACCTGACTGCTCATAACTACCCTCCCTATGGACCTGACTGCTCATAACTACCCTCCCTATGGACCTGACTGCTCATAACTACCCTCCCTATGGACCTGACTGCTCATAACTACCCTACCTATGGACCTGACTGCTCATAACTACCCTCCCTATGGACCTGACTGCTCATAACTACCCTACCTATGGACCTGACTGCTCATAACTACCCTCCCTATGGACCTGACTGCTCATAACTACCCTCCCTATGGACCTGACTGCTCATAACTACCCTCCCTATGGACCTGACTGCTCATAACTACCCTACCTATGGACCTGACTGCCGATAACTACCCTCCCTATGGACCGCTGTCAAAGACTACCCTACAGTGGTGCCAGGTCATCCCACTATAGCCCAGCGGTTCCCAAACTTTAAATTGTGGTGGACATGTAGATAGGTTTCAAAATAACTCCAGTGACAAGTAGATAAGTTTCAAAACAGCTCCAGTGACAAGTAGATAAGTTTCAAAACAGCTCTAGTGACAAGTTGATAAGTTTCAAAAAACTCCCGTGACAAGTAGATAAGTTTCAAAACAGCGCCAGTGTCAGGCTCACCCATACTATAGACCAGTGGTTCCCAAACTTAAAAGTGTGGTGGACAAGTAGACAATTTTCAAAGCAGCTTTAGAGACAAGTAGATAAGTTTCAAAACACCCCCAGTGACAAGAAGATAAGTTTCAAAACACCGCCAGTGACAAGTTGATAAGTTTAAAAAGACTCCCGTGACAAGTAGATAAGTTTCAAAACAGCTCCAGTGTCAGGCTCACCCCCACTATAGACCAGTGGTTCCCAAACTTAAAAGTGAGGTGGACAAGTAGACAAGTTTCAAAGCAGCTTTAGAGACAAGTAGATAAGTTTCAAAACACCGCCAGTGACAAGTAGATAAGTTTCAAAACACCACCAGTGACAAGTAGATAAGTTTCAAAACACCGCCAGTGACAAGTAGATAAGTTTCAAAACACCACCAGTGACAAGTAGATAAGTTTCAAAACAGCTCCAGTGACAAGTAGATAAGTTTCAAAACACCGCCAGTGAAAAGTAGATAAGTTTCAAAACAGCTCTAGTGACAAGTTGATAAGTTTCAAAAAACTCCCGTGACAAGTAGATAAGTTTCAAAACAGCTCCAGTGTCAGGCTCACCCCCACTATAGACCAGTGGTTCCCAAACTTAAAAGTGTGGTGGACAAGTAGACAAGTTTCCAAGCAGCTTTAGAGACAAGTAGATAAGTTTCAAAACACCGCCAGTGACAAGTAGATAAGTTTCAAAACAGCGCCAGTGACAAGTAGATAAGTTTCAACACGATTCCAGTGACAAGTAGATAAGTTTCAAAACAGCTCCCGTGACAAGTAGATAAGTTTCAAAACAGCTCTAGGGACCCTTGCCATATTTACTGTTAATATTTTATATGTATCTGACCATAGATATTCCTGTTGCGTGGACCGGCTACGTAAAACTCATGGACAGCTGATATTGATAACCGAATACTGTACGCCTCTAACAAGATTAGCCTTAAATCTACGAATCATCAAATATATCGATCAGAACGATATTTTATTGATTCCACTAATTGTAACCGGTTAAAGGCAGCCATTACTATCTCTTTTAAAAATGTTATAAAACTGTTATAAAAATGATCATTTGGTCGTTTTTTAATTAAAACGGCACGCAATGTTTTATAATGCCGTTGAGTGGTACAACGCCATGCGTGGTCTAACATAAGGCGTGGCTCAACACAGGGCGTGGTAAATCCCAATGCGTGGTCTTTTACTTCTCAGTAAATGCAACGATATTCATGTTTGTTCAGCGCAATAAAAATAGCATTGTTATATTGTGGAAGTGAGATAAAGGAAATAATCGGCGATTCGCTCAGGAAACAGGAAGAACACAATGGGCTCAACGTGTCACACACGCTAGACTACACTAACACAATATCCAGTCCCTGCTCCCCCCCCTCCCCCCCTCCCCCCCTTTGCGGCCCCTTTGCAAACAGCTCACAGCTAAATGTATTTACTGACAGCTGAACAAATGACGTAAGAATTATTGGTTGTTTAGGATTTGTGGGTGTCAGGTTTGAAGGGAATCCTAAAGTTATTATAGACAAGCCATTTAATATGAAGAGGAAAATTCGGATGTTTGATTTCGTCTCAAAAATTCATGGATGATTTACTCCCCTTACCTGTCAAGGGTTGAGTTACTCTCCTAACCTGTCCAGGGTTTACTTAATCCCCTCATCTGTTTAGGGTTGACTTACTCCCCTTACCTGTCAAGGGTTGACTTACTCCCCTCACCTGTCTAGGGTTGATTTACTCTCCTAACCTGTCCAGGGTTTACTTAATCCCCTCATCTATTTAGGGTTGACTTACTCCCCTTACCTGTCTAGGGTTGACTTACTCCCCTTACCTGTCTAAGGTTGATTTACTCCCCTCACCTGTCTAGGGTTGATTTACTCCCCTCACCTGTCTAGGGTTGATTTACTCCCCTCATCTGTCTAGGGTTGATTTACTCCCCTCACCTGTCTAGGGTTGATTTACTCCCCTCACCTGTCTAGGGTTGATTTACTCCCCTTACCTGTCTAGGGTTGACTTACTCCTCTTAAATGTCTAGGGTTGACTTACTCCCTTTACCTGCTTGACTGCTTTTAATGTGTAACTGGTTGAGACTCTCCCACCATATTCATTAGTAACACCTTTAATACCCAGATTATATCTTGATTAAATTGAACGGAGAACTTTCCCTACCTGCTATCTTATAATCTTATAAAGCTCATTGGTTAGCCAGCAGTGCTTAGCTATCTGGCTCATCTTAACCAGTCCCATGATGCTTAGTTATCTAGTTCATCTATACAAGTCCAATGATGCTTTGCTATCTAGTTCATCTACAGCAGTCCCATTATGATTAGCTATCGAGTTCATCTGTAGCAGTCACGTTTGTTTACACAGGGATGTTTTTAAAGATTACATTGTACATACCATTTTCCGAACATAAATAAATAAATATTTTAACCATTTAACAGTGTCAACACAAGAGATCTCAAGTATTTCTCTAGCGTAGTATTCAGCAATCAATGAACTTCTTTAGTGACAATAATGGTTTAATTATTGATCATTTGGATTTGGTAAGCAATGGGGAAGCATGCTGGTAAGTTTGCACAGACTGAGTCACCAAATGCACCAGGAGCCATGAATCCTAACACTATTTAAAGTTAAAAAAATAATGTTCCCCCAACCTCCGCTCCCCCCCCTTTTTTTCCAATCTTTCTTTGAATTATTTTGAACTCCCCGTAATCACAGAGTCTCTAACCCAATACTTTAAACTTTTCTTGTCGGCGACTCAATTTTTAAAGCTTATCATTCGGCCACCCGGTAATCCAGTGTACCCTGTTAAATATAGGCGTTCTTTTTTAACTCTCATTTAATCTTTTTCTGGTGAACGACCTTAAGCTGACCCCAATTCGCTTGCGTTAGTATAGGACGTGGCTTACTCCCTTCGATCGTCTTTTCAACAAACCAATCTATCGCCTGTATCTAGACTCGAATGCCATCGAACATTGCGGAACGTTTGAGTCACTAATACAATGCGTAATGAGTCTGGAATCATCTACGAAACAGACGATAGTCTATACAATCCGGCGAGTGGTTGAATGACACAGCAGACGGCAATGCGAGAGACGCATACAACGTGATAGACTTATTTTGGAACGTGCCAGTGATTTTTTTTACAGTAGCTGCGCCTTTCATGAGTTGTACCTTTTCGCACACTATTTTATTTCGACATATTACTGGTCGCAGCCATACAATAAATATTTTACTTCGACATATTACTGGTCGCAGCCATACAATAAATATTTTACTTCGACATATTACTGGTCGCAGCCATACAATAAATATTTTACTTCGACATATTACTGGTCGCAGCCATACAATAAATATTTTACTTCGACATATCACTGGTCGCAGCCATACAATAAATATTTTACTTCGACATATTACTGGTCGCAGCCATACAATAAATATTTTACTTCGACATATTACTGGTCGCAGCCATACAATAAATATTTTACTTCGACATATTACTGGTCGCAGCCATACAATAAATATTTTACTTCGACATATTACTGGTCGCAGCCATACAATAAAATATTTTACTTCGACATATTACTGGTCGCAGCCATACAATAAATATTTTACTTCGACATATTACTGGTCGCAGCCATACAATAAATATTTTACTTCGACATATTACTGGTCGCAGCCATACAATATACTATAAGTTATTAATTTTAATTATATTTCTTTTTTGACTTTTGTACTTTGTTATTAAATTAATGGAACCTGATAATTGTAATAGGCCCTGTTTCGAGTATCGTATTATTGTAATAGGCCCTGTTTCGAGTATCGTATTATTGTAATAGGCCCTGTTTCGAGTATCGTATTATTGTAATAGGCCCTGTTTCGAGTATCGTATTATTGTAATAGGCCCTGTTTCGAGTATCGTATTATTGTAATAGGCCCTGTTTCGAGTATCGTATTATTGTAATAGGCCCTGTTTCGAGTATCGTATTATTGTAATAGGCCCTGTTTCGAGTATCGTATTATTGTAATAGGCCCTGTTTCGAGTATCGTATTATTGTAATAGGCCCTGTTTCGAGTATCGTATTATTGTAATAGGCCCTGTTTCGAGTATCGTATTATTGTGATAGGCCCTGTTTCGAGTATCGTATTATTGTAATAGGCCCTGTTTCGAGTATCGTATTATTTGTAATTGTTTTCATCATTTGGTATCGTCTTTTGTCATGCACTATTTATAACGAACCTATTAATATAGGAGATTAATTACTCCCTACGGAGAGCGGTGCTTAACAACCCAGGATACTGAGGGTTTAAACGAACCCATTTTTAGACGTACGGAGGCAGAACAACACAAAGAGAAAGTTGGATAAAGAAATCTATGTTGACAAAACGCGTACCAGGCAAGGTATCAAAAGCCGTGTCATATGTTTTGGCTTTTTTTGGGGCAGAGAAAGGTGACTTCCTCCTTTTCATTTCCGCCTTGATCTTTTATTCTAAGAAGCGTCTTTATCATTTTTGTTAAACTTCGAAAACCAGCTAAGTAAATTTTTGGAATTTAAAATAACAATGGGACGGTTGATCGCAAAATACAGACAACAAATTAATGTTGAAATATGTGACTGAAAGTTGGAAGGACTATCCAACAAGCCAGGGCACCGGATAGCTTGGCTAAACAGGGGAAGAGCTGCTAAACAGGGACAGCGTGCTAAACAGGGACAGCGTGCTAAACAGGGACAGCGTGCTAAACAGGGACAGCGTGCTAAACAGGGACAGCGTGCTAAACAGGGACAGCGTGCTAAACAGGGACAGCGTGCTAAACATGGACAGCGTGCTAAACAGGGACAGCGTGCTAAACAGGGACAGCGTGCTAAACAGGGACAGCGTGCTAAACAGGGACAGCGTGCTAAACATGGACAGCGTGCTAAACAGGGTCAGCGTGCTAAACAGGGACAGCGTGCTAAACAGGGACAGCGTGCTAGACATGGACAGCGTGCTAAACATGGACAATCCTGACGAACCCGAAAGTATGGAAAGCTTACCAATGACATTTGTTGAGAAAGAAATAAAAAAATTAGGTTGCATTAAAACGTCATCATGACCTTTGTCAATCCAATGGATCCTTTTGTAAATTCACCAGTGTAACATGTCATTCGATAGTGTCACATGACAATCACATAACTTATCTGCGTCTCTGTGTTATATGTAGTATCTAACTTATCTGTGTCTCTGTGTTATATGTAGTATCTAACTTCTCTGTGTCTCTGTGTTATATGTAGTATGTAACTTATCTGTGTCTCTGTGTTATATGTAGTATCTAACTTATCTGTGTCTCTGTGTTATATGTAGTATCTAACTTCTCTGTGTTATATGTAGTAACTAACTTATCAAGTGTGAATATTTGTTTCCCCGTGCCAATAACTACTTTGTACATTGTGTATACATGTGTCTCCGTGCCAATAGCTACATTGTGTATAAATGTGTCGGTACTCATCAGACCTACTCTCTCCAATGTCGAATGGCATTCTTTTTGTTGCCAATTGCACGGCTACCAGCCTACTAGCTGACGATAAGACATACTTAAACAAGGCATGTGGAAGCTTGAAGAAGGTAACATGACAATGAGACAAGAACATTTCGGCTGAGAGCCATCCTCAGCAGACAGGACAGATGAAAATAGGACTGTTGCTAACTTGTACAATTTTTTAGATGTGTGTACGTGCCAAACGTCAACTTGTCCAATGTGTCTAGATGTGTCTAAGTGGCAATATAATCTTGTCCAATGCGACTAGATGTGTCTAAGTGGCAATATAAACTTGTCCAATGTGACTAGATGTGTCTAAGTGGCAATAGCCAACATGTTTAATGTGTCTAGATGTATCTACGTGGCAATAGCCAACTTGCCCAATGTGTCTATATGTATCTGCGTGGCAATAGCCAACTTGTACAATGTTTCTAGATGTGTCTACGTGGCAATAGCCACCTTGCCCAATGTGTCTAGATGTGTCTACTAGCCAACTTGTCCAATGTGTCTGGATGTGTCTGCTAGCCAACATGACCAATGTATCTAGATGTGTCTACGTGGCAATAGCCAACTTGTCCAATAATCCTAGATTTGTCTACTAGAAACTTGTCCAATGTGTCTAGATGTGTCTACTAGCTAACTTGTCCAATGTGTCTAGCTGTGTCTACATGGAAATAGCCAACTTGTCCAATGTGTCTAGATGTATCTTCTAGCTAATTTTTCCAATGTGTCTAGATGTGTCTACTAGCCAAATGGTTCACTGTGTCTAGATGTGTCTACGTTGCTATAGCCAACTTGTCCAATTGTCTAGATGGATCTAAGTGGCAATAGCCAACTTGCCCATTGTGTCTAGATGTGTCTACGTGACAATATCAAACTTTTCCGATGTGACTAGATGTGTCTATGTGGCAATAGCCAACTAGTCTAATGTGTCTAGATGTGTCTACCTGGCAATATCAAACTTGTCCAATGTGCCTAGATTTGTCTACGTGGCAATAGCCAACTTGTCCAATGTGTCTAGATGTGTCTACTAGCCAACTTGCCCGATTTGTCTAGATTTGTCTACGTTGCAATAGCCAACTTGTCTAATGTCTCTAGATGCATCTACGTGGCAATAGCCAACTTGTCCAATGTTCCTAGATTTGTCTACGGGCAGTAGCCAACTTGTCTAATTTGTCTAGATGTGTCTACGTGGCAATAGCCAACTTGCCCAATGTAACTAGATGTGTCAAGCCTTGTCGGAAATCGCCTTAGCTAACCGTACCCACCAGCCAGCACGAGCTATCTTATCGGCCCATATCTTGATGACTACCCCAAGTGTTGATTGACAGATGTTGCTTTGCACGTTCTGAAATCGCCCATAAAAATAACTCTCCAATTAAAAAAGAGCCCATAAAAACCACATAAAAGTTAAAAGGAGCCCATAACAAACAAGCTGTTGTCTTATCGACTACTTTGAAATTTTCTCACATAATCTCACAACGGTTCCTTACAAACTTATATACATCCAGAACTCTCAATGACACCCCCCCCCCCACATACAATCAAAACACTTCCTGGTTCATTTCTATACACACAACTCACTTTCTCATACTCACACATACACACAATATACTTCCTTATGCACACTTATGCACACAAAACTGTCCGTTTAAAAAATATATATACAGTCACATCACCAAATCATCCCATACATACACTAACATCACCAATTTATACCATATATACACTCAAAACACAAAATCATCCCATATGAAACAGCCGGCTAATATTAGTGAATGTCATTCTTTCTGCCAACTATGGTTGACTGCCAGGAGAATGTCATGCTTTGTGCCAGCTATCGTTGACTGCCAACAAAATGTCATTCTTTGTGCCAACTATAGTTGACTGTCAGCAGAATGTCATTCTTTGTGCCAAAGACACCGATCTTCTGCCTTTTCCCAAAACTCTCAGAAGATAATACTTATTTGTCATAATTGTAAATATATGTCATCATTGTGAATATGTGTCATCACTGTAAATATGTGTCATCATTGTAAATATATGTCATCATTACAAATATACGTCATCATTGTAAATATATGTCGCCAATTTAAATATTTAACCATTGTAAATCCTTGTCAGCACCACTGAAAATACGTTAACACCACCATCAAAAATGCATTGCCACCACTATTAAAAATTCATTTAACCACTGTTGTAGATCTACGTAAAAATTGAAAATTTTCGGAGACTTGGCAAATTTAAAATACAAATTTCACAACATCACGGGCTGTCTAAAAATATAAATAAACATACCACTATATTGGTGGTTGCCTTCAAATATGAATAAACATACCACTGTAATGGTGGTTGCCTTCAAATATGAATAAACATAACACTACTCTGGTGGTTGCCTTCAAATATATCCACACACCACTTGAACGAAAGACTTTGTGATTGAGAATGTTAAGATAAAGTCAAAGTCCTTCAAACTGGCTTGTTATCTAGAACGAAACCAGCGAATGTCGCTCAGCCCTGACAAAACCATCAATGTTTGTTTAGGGAAACCGGCGGGCGGGGGGGAGGCGGTTGGGTGGGGGGAAATTTATGCCCTGATCGATGGTTCCAAAGTTGTTATCAACGAACCCACATGTTGTTATCAAGGAACCCCATGTTTCTTTCAGAAATGTTCCCCCGGAGGGGCACTTCAGATTTTCGGGAAGGGGGGGGGGGGATCAGATTTTTCGGGGGAGGGGGGCAGTGCCAGCAGTTGAAGTTAATTTATTGTTGGACATAATTTTGCTCGGGGGGGGGGGGCACTTGGCTTTTCCCGACCCTCCCCATGAGTCTATTAAGGACCCCATTTTTGTTATCAAGCGATCCGATTCTTAAATAAAGGAACCCCGCGTTGTTCTCAAGATACCCCAAGTTGTTATCAAGGTACCCCACGTTTTATCAAGGAATCCCACGTTGTCTGCAAGGAAGCCCATGTTGTTGTCAAGGAAGCCCATGTTGTTGTCAAGGAAGCCCATGTTATTGTCAAGGAAGCCCATGTTGTTGTCAAGGAAGCCCATGTTGTTGTCAAGGACCCAGAATTGTTATCAATGAAACCAACGTTGTTTTCAAGACCCCCAAGTTCTTATCCAGCAAATCCATGTTGGTATCATGTTCATGTTAAGGAATCCATGTTGGTATCATGTTAATGTTAAGGAATCCATGTTGGTATCATGTTAATGTTAAGGAATCTATGCTGGTATCATGTTAATGTTAAGGAATCTATGTTGTATTCCACAAAGTCCTTATTTGCGGTGAATAACCGTGACGTGACGAATCTACCCAAGAAAACCAAAGTCATAGTGGACTTGATAGTGGACTTGATAGTGGACTTGGTAGTGGACTTGATAGTGGACTTGGTAGTGGGCTTGGCAGTGGACTTGGCAGTGGACTTGGCAGTGGACTTGGCAGTGGACTTGGCAGTGGACTTGGCAGTGGACTTGGCAGTGGACTTGATAGTGGACTTGATAGTGGGCTTGATAGTGGACTTGATAGTGGACTTGATAGTGGACTTGATAGTGGGCTTGATAGTGGAATTGATAGTGGGCTTGATAGTGTGCCTGATAGAGGGCTTGAAATTGGGTTGATAAACCTTCCCACAGTTTGAGAACTACAACCATGATATTGAGGTAAACACCCGTTAATTCAACCTTCGCTAAATCTAGGTCAAAATACGGAAACTGAGAGGACACAGGAGAAACAAGAAGAAAGAGAGTGGAGGAATAGAAGAAGGAGGGTGGAGGAATAGAAGAAAGAGGGTGGAGGAATAGAAGAAAGAGAGTGGAGGAATAGAAGAAAGAGAGTGGAGGAATAGAAGAAAGAGAGTGGAGGAATAGAATAAAGAGGGTGGAGGAATAGAAGAAAGAGAGTGAAGGAATAGAAGAAAGAGAGTGAAGGAATAGAAGAAAGAGAGTGGAGGAATAGAAGAAAGAGAGTGGAGGAATAGAAGAAAGAGGGTGGATGAATAGAAGAAAGAGAGTGGAGGAATAGAAGAAAGAGAGTGGAGGAATAGAAGAAAGAGGGTGGAGGAATAGAAGAAAGAGAGTGGAGGAATAGAAGAAAGAGAGTGGAGGAATAGAAGAAAGAGAGTGGAGGAATAGAAGAAAGAGAGTGGAGGAATAGAAGAAAGAGAGTGGAGGAATAGAAGAAAGGGGACTGTTTCATTTATTGGTAAGGAATATCACACTTTCACTGCCAAACTATGCTAGGAATATCACACTTTCACTGACAAACTATGTTAGGAATATCACACTTTCACTGCCAAACTATGCTAGGAATATCACACTTTCACTGCCAAACTATGTTAGGAATATCACACTTTCACTGACAAACTATGTTAGGAATATCACACTTTCACTGAGGAATATCACACTTTCACTGCCAAACTATGCTAGGAATATCACACTTTCACTGCCAAACTATGTTAGGAATATCACACTTTCACTGACAAACTATGTTAGGAATATCACACTTTCACTGAGGAATATCACACTTTCACTGCCAAACTATGTTAGGAATATCACACTTTCACTGCCAAACTATGTTAGGAATATTACACTTTCACTGCCAAACTATGTTAGGAATATCACACTTTTACTGTGTGGTGATCTGACTTATGACTTATTAATGAGGGGTATCTCTCGTATGAGATCTCCTCTTGGCACTCTGTCCAGGGATGCGTTAATTAAGCCAAATTACCACACAGACATAATAACCTATTTATATACATATAGTATAGACTGAAACGAAGTCTTTGTTATAGGAGAAAATAACGATTTATTGAATAATGATATATACAAATTCCTCCGTAATACACTCTTGGTGATTACTATATATACATCAAATGGAAGTCATCCAATCAGAAATATATATCAAGGCAATGCAAGCGTCCCTAACATACTGACGGTATCATCATTATTAATGCTGTATTGCTCAAGGTTCTATGTTCAATCTTGGTGGACTTAGCCATTATAGTTTCACTGAGGATCTCGGTGGATCACACAGTGTGTGAGTTCCTCCTATGCCAGAAGCGTGTCCCTGTTCCCTTCGGAGCTGTTCTAGGCGTAGCGAAGTCGGAGTTCCCGGTCTTAGATTCCGTGGGATCTCTGGGATGGGGAAGATGACTCTCCCGCGATGAATCGTGGTTGTGAGAGTGACTGGAACTCGAAGTCCTTTTGGCGGCTGACAGGTGGTTTGGTGTAGGATGTAGATCAATCCCCTAGCGTCAGCTCAAGATAAGTCGGTCCAGTAATGGAAACCAGGTTAAAGGCAAATGATACAAAAATGGATAAGCGAATAGACATAAGCTAATAAGTCTCTTTCCAACCTAGACATAAGCTAATAAGTCTCTTTCCAACAGCAAGGAATTCAGATCGATGTATGAAAGGTGACATACCTTGTACATATATACATCCAATTTGTGGATGGATTTATAAGTCTAAACATTGTTCGCGTACTCATATGTTGCCTCGCGACAATGTTGGACCAAGCGAACATTTTAACTAATGAAGTATGGGACATTGAATCATTATCAATCATTAAATTTACAGGTACGTAGTATACATATTTTTTTCTCGTTAAAAGAGACATAGGCGATTTGGAACAACAACCTACCATCCCCATGATGGGATGGCGGCGTCTCGTAGCCCGCGGCAAAAGCAATATCAGAATGCATACTATCTATAATATAATATAGGCATTATTAATTTAAGACCAAACACGATCGAATAATTGCTACATAGTTATATGAACAATACAAGTGCAATTACATAATATCAAAATCATGGTTGCGTACTTACTAGTACTCTAGGTAGCAGTCGCAGTTAAGGATCATGCTAATGAAGTACTAAGTCTAGTTACTTCCAGCGTCCACAATCAAGTGATCAGATCTTAAAAGACGTATACTTGCTAGTATCCTAGGCTGCAGTTGATCACGCTACTGAAGTCTCTAGTGTATTTATCTCCAGCGCTTACAGTTAAGTGACAACGCTATGAAGTCTCTAGTGTAGTTATCTCCAGCGTTCACAGTCAAGTGATAACGCTTTGATGTCTCTAGTGAAGTTATCTTTAGCGTTCACAGTCAACTGATAATGATCATAAAAGACATATTCTGGCTTGTTCTGGTTATTTATTCGAATTGGGTGATGATTCAATTGGGTGATTTAAATGTTGTTTTGTTTGTTTTCCCATCCAATGATAATCACTTTCAATGTTGCGGGTTTGACCTTCTACCCTCAAAGTTTATGGGGGGGGGGGGGGGGGGGGAGTAGGGAAATCCAAATTTACGCTTCGGTGTGAGTTTTCTGGTGTAGAAATGCAACAACAAGGGACGTTACTCCGCTTTGCTGCCTTTGGGCAAGCTTTCAAGGCTCAAATAGGAACTGGCAATCCACTTGCTTACTCACCATTGACAGATTTGGTAATCTTCACTGACTACCTGGTACTCATCATTGAATATTTAAATTGGTGTAGCTAAACATCCCTTGAAAACAACATGAGACGCCTTGATTACAACATAAGATCCCTTGATTACAACATGATACCCTTTGAATATAACATGACACCCCTTGATAACCCCATGAGACGCCTTGATTACAACATGAAATACCTTGATTATAACATGATACCTCTTGATTACAACATGGGAACCCTTGATAACAACACGAGACACTTTAATAATATCACGATACCCTTTGATTACAACGGGAGATTCCTTGATAAACACATGCGATCCCTTGATTGCTACATGCGACCCCTTGATTACAACATGAGACCCCTTGAATATAACATGAGACCCCTTGATTGCAATATGACACCCCTTAATAACCACACGAGACCCCTTGATTACAATATGAGATCACTTGATCTCACTTTTGAGGAAGCTAAACTCAGGTGTGAATAGCGGAAAATTAGCTAAAAAACATCTATGTCTGTAACCGGATATTTTTTTGCCTCGCAATCCAACTTGACTACCACAAAGTTGTTGGTGCCACCCGCTCGTTTCACCGTGCCACCCGCTCGTTTCACCGTGCCACCCGCTCGTTTCACCGCCGAAACTCCGGTGGGAACGGTTAAAATTTAAAATTGAGTTGAAACTTTGTAAAAAAAATATAGACGTTTTATCAGAGACGAGATTCAACACATTAAAAAGTAGAAAATAATTCAAAATTTCTTTAAATGCATTACACAAAGAAAACCTGTGCAGAAGGGCAACTTTGCAATCGACGGTGACCTTGACCTGGGCATAAAAGTACAATAGTGAGAAAGGTTCAACCACCCTCAAACGATCACTCAACCGCGGAGCACACGCAGTCAACCACGACAATTTTGAGTGATAGTGCCAACCCGTCTCCACAGATCACGTGTTCCAGTCTTTCACCGGGTGAATACCGCACGAGTCTTGAATGATCACGTGTGTT